AGGTCTCGGCGGAGAATTACAATGAAGCATGGCAGATGCTGAAAAAACGTTACGATAAAAAGCGCATAATCATACAAAGACATATTAGGGCGCTTTTTCAGCTACAGTCAGTTTCCAAAGAGAATTTCATGAGTCTTTGCTATTTAGTGGATGAAGTCTTAAGGGATTATCTACACTCGTGTTGGTCGAAAAAATGCATTTTTTTTATTGCATATTCTTTAAGTACATAGTCTCGAGAAAACTCTCACAAAATTTTGCAACGATCGGAGCATTAGTTTCGAAGATATAGCTATTTATAGCGCACTACCTGCGACGTCGCCGTTGTGTCGTGCAGCAAGAGACGGAAGAATGGCTCGAAGACAGCAACAAATCGATATTCTGAAGGCTGCGGAGGATACAAAAGGGGTACAATATGGTCCCGGAATCGGCAACTCGATGTGTAAGTTTAAATAAATTAATTTCAACATGAAAGAAACTAAATTGAAACTAACGCGATTATCTCGAAATTGTGTTTTTTCGAAAATGCCTTTGCGGTAGATAGGATTACTAAAAAACTGTCAATCCGATCAATGCGAAATTTGAATCATTTATTTATTATGATAATAGCTAGTAGATGAACGACGGATTTTCAGTTTAATCAAAAACTTTTTTTTACGGCAAATAACTCAAAAAAATTTAACACCATGAAAAATGAACTTTTTGTTTAAACCGTCGCCATTTTTTTAATAATTGAAATTTTGACAAATCCTTCTTTCATCTACTAGATAATACAATATACTAACGAAATCTTTTTACATTTTGATTTCAGATGATCCGTTCTTGAGTAATCTTGTCCACCGCAAGTGATGCTGAAAACTAGGCGCTCCAGGGCAACAGCTGCAGTTCCGCCATTTTAAAATATTTTTTAACAAAAAAAAATTTGACATATACTCCAAAACATGTACTAAATAATACCATTAATAGTTTTTAAATAAATTTTTATTTTGCTGTCGAAAAAAAATCGTGAAAATGTCGTCATTTTTCGTGCTGCGAGTGTATATAACCCCTTAAAACATTTGAGAGCTCTGAAGGCTATTGGACGTCCCACTGATTCATGGGATGACATCATTATCCATTTGATAACCAGCAAGTTGGATCATATCACAAATAAGGAGTGGGAAAACAACATTTTAGACGAGGACATTCCCACAATACGACATTTAACAGATTTCTTGGAACACAGATGCATCCTCTGGTGTAGCGTCGTGTCAATACTGCCGAGGAGATCATCGCATTTACTCATGTGAACGATTCTTGAAATTTTCTCCGGAAGATCGTTTGAAAATCGTCAAGGAAAATAAGCTATGCTGGAATTGCATAAAAGTTTCGTTTCACACAGCAAAAACATGCAAGTCAGGCTCATGTAAAACCTGTGGCAAGAGGCACAACACACTTCTGCATATCTCTGGAGACAAAGAGAATTCAAAGGTTATCACGTCACCACAATCAACAGAAACACTGTCGAGTTCTTTGGCTTTGAATGTCGCGCATACAACGAGATGAGAAATTTCATCTCGAGTTCTACTATCAATGGCAATAATAAATGCAAAGGATTGTCAAGGAAAGCAGCAAATATGTCATGCTCTACTGGATTCAGGATCACAAACCAATTTCGTGACAAAGGATTTAGTACGACATCTAGGTTCTTCAAAGATCGGTCGATATTTCGATCGTTGGAGTCAACAATTCTTGCAACAAGATTAAAAAAACAGTTCAAGTACAATTGAGTTCAAGGCATTATGCTTTCAAGGTCGTCATCGAATGTTTAGTTCTCAACCGAATAACTGAGCGTCTACCCAGTGTCACAATTGATAAAACTGCATTCAAGATTCCGCAGAACTTACCTCTGGCAAATCCAGAATTTTATCGATCCACTGATATAGACATATTGCTGGGTGCTGAAATGTTTTGGAATATTCTATGCGTTGGGCAGATAAAAGAGTCATCAGATTATCCACTTCTGCAAAAAACATTATTTGGATGGGTGATTGGCGGCAAATACCCTGGTAGTTCTGTGCAGCAAAAAACTATCCAATGCAACGCCGATAAAGCCAAATTAGAGCAACTTGTTGAGAATTTCTGGCAAATCGAGCAAATATCCGACAAGCCAATGCTAACTAACGAAGAGAAAGACTGCGAGGAGCATTTCAAGAAAACTTATCATCGAACTCCTCAGGGCAGATTGTGGTGCAACTGCCAATTAAAACAGACAAGCTATAAACTTTAGGGTCATGTTATAACACAGCTTTGAAACGCTTCAAATTATTGGAATTCAAATTGGATCGTTGTCCAGAAATGACGAAAGAATATGCCAAATTCATACAAGAATATTTAGAGCTGAAGCACATGCTTCCAGTAATCACTGAAAATACAAGAGACAATCCAGTCTACTACATGCCACATCATGCCGTGTGCAAGAATTCATTCTACCATCAGGCTTCGAGTTGTATTTGATGCCTCATCTAAAACAGATACCGGTGTATCGCTTAACGACATCTTGTTGGTGGGACCGAACCTACAAAAAGATCTTACTTCCATATTAATTAGGTTACGCTTATGGCAATACGTACTTACAGCCGATGTAGAAAAAATGTACTGGCACGTTCAGATTGATGAGAGTCAGCGAGGACTTCAGAGAATTCTCTGGCGAAACAACAGCCATGAAGAAGTGCAAACATTCGAGTTGGTTACACTAACATACGGCACAGCATCTGCTTCGTTCTTAGCTGTCCGAGTATTTTAAGAAATAGCGAGGTTGGAGCAACAAGAAATGCCAACGGACTCGACTACGATATTGTCCGGCTTCTACGTGGACGATCTTTTAACAGGTGCGAACACTGTTACAGATCTTATTATCATTCGCGATGAAGTAAGAGCCATATTAAACAAGGCAGGTTTTCACTTAAGGAAGTGGGCCTCCAATGAGAGGGCCGTACTAGAAGGCATACCTAATTCAGCTGCAGAGTTTATTTTTAATGTACAAGAAAACAAGACGTTATTCACGCTCTGTTAGCAATCTCGCTGCGCTTACTTGTAGATTGTAATGGCGCGGCTTTACTATCGTTGCCCAAGCGTTCCCGCGGTAACCACGTCAAAGGGGCTTGGTCGAGAAAACGACTGTTTCTCTGATTTTTATACTCTTTATTAAGAAAGCCTCGAGTGCAGGCCAAGACTCACAAACAAATTGCTGTCGTAACACGACTGACGACGCGATAACAAAGTTGGACGGCGAGACGATACGGTGCACGTGTCGTTGCGTTAGAACGGCCATTGATTTCTGGTCCCTTGATCGAAGAGGATTGCGCGGTACACTATCGCGCAGCGGAACGATCCGTGAATTCGGTCGATTTCGTAAGCAGTCGTTGTAGCGGAAGGAAAATTAAAGACGAGTACCGAACACGCCGCCCGCCTTGAAAGGACTGCTTTCAAAATAACATATGAGTTAGTCATCGCAACAGAAGCTGGAATTGCTCTATTGCAATCCAGCTACAACTAAGCATTGCATAAAAGAATGACATGACTTAAGATTAAGGAAGCGAATTAACAAAGATATAATATATGTGTTATCTTAGTCTAAGTATGAAGAAATTGAATCGAGATTTGATATAAACTATAGGTAACTGCTAAACATATAAACTTAAACTAAACGAATGGACGAGTCTTGACTAGGCCTCGATCGGCAGGATCGCTAGCTTGGAAAGTGGCCTCACGTAGAGACCTTTGGCAGTCTTCACCGTTGCGGCGCGTATGATCCCGTCTGGACCGGGATGCACTTCCTGAACCCGCCCCATTGTCCACTGAAGCGGAGCTAAATTTTGTTATTTTATGAGCACTAGCTGATCAATTGACAGCTGATTTCCCTTATTGGTCATCCATTTGGTTCGCGCTTGAAGAGAGTGAAGATACTCGTTGCGCCAAAAATGCTGCCGAGTTTGCTCTACGCGTTGCCACCTTAACAGCTTATTTTCATTAACATTGGTTAAATCGGAGTAAGGAAGATCATTTAATGCCGTGCCAACAAGAAAGTGTTCTGGGGTAAGGTACGCTAAATCGTTAGGGTCTGTACTTAACGGCGTAATGGGACGCGAATTGAGGATAGCTTCTATTTCGCAGAGCGTTGTTTGCATTTCCTCAAAGGTTAAGTTAGCTTTACCTACGATTCGAGCCATGTGGTATTTTGCAGATTTCACGGCTGCCTCCCACAAGCCCCCGAAGTGGGGCGCGTTAGGCGGGATAAAGCTCCACGAAATTTCTAAGTCTCGTAAAAAACATTCAATTTCGGATTGAACCTGCGAACGATCATAAAAGTCGTACAGCTCTTGAATTTGTCTTTGAGCACCCACGAAGGTGGTCCCATTATCTGAGTACATATGCGAGGGTCTACCCCTGCGAGAAATAAATCGCTTGAAAGCGGTAATGAAAGCTTTGGACGTGAGATCACTTACTAATTCCAAATGGACCGCCTTCGTGGCGAAACACACAAAAAGCGAGACATAGGACTTGTGAATTCGTGCGTTGCGGCGCTTTCCTTCACGTAACGAGAGTGGCCCGGCATAGTCGACGCCGCAGTGAGAGAAAGGCCTGGAAATGTTGACTCGATCGGCCGGTAGCGAACCCATTATTGCTTCTGAATGCCTGGGTTTCGCCCTAAAGCAAATTATACATTTTTGTATTATTCCACGAGTGGTGGATCGCAATGATAGTGGCCAAAAGCGCTATCGGAGGGCAGCCATTGTGGCTTGTAAACCTACGTGCAAATTTCGCGTGTGTTCGCGTTCTATGATGCGCTGAGTTAAAAGATGTTTGCACGGCAAGAGCACTTGATGGCATGCGTCGTACGAAAGACTCGAATTTTTCAACCTACCGCCAACTCGCATTAGGCCGTCCTTATCTAAGAAAAGAGATAATGATAGGATACTACTTGAAGTTTGTACAATGCCGTTCTTAACTAAAGCTTGGTATTAGCTGTGAAACGTTTGACGCTGTATTGATCTACAAATATAATTCAAAGCGATCGAAATTTCGTCGTGAGACACGAAGTCAGACACTGCGTAGGCGCGGTGCAGCTTGGAAAATCTCAGGCAGTACGCTATGATGCGGCATATTTTACTTAAATTTGAATACTTATTTAGTAAGTCCCTGACAATACATGGATGGGAGATGGAGACGGCAACTCGGACCTCCTTTCGTTCGGGAAGATCGCTTTCTAAACGCACGAAAACGCTGGGCGACCAGTGCTCTTCATCCCATTTTAAAAATTCGAGGCCGCTCCACCACTTCTCAGTATTGACTAAATCAAAGGGATTTAGTCCTCGTGATAATATGTCAGCAGGGTTGTTGGGAGATGCAATGTGGCGCCAATGCTCGATCTCTGTCAGACGCTGAATCTCACCTACTCGATTCCCCACAAAGGTTGACCACTGCCGAGACGGAGAAGATATCCAATTTAATGCTATGGTCGAATCCAACCAAAGATAAATAGGCCATTGCGAAAACTCCAGTGAGTTTTTGACCTTGTCGATTAACTGCGCTAACAACAAGGCAGCTGATAATTCTAGTCGCGGGAGCGAGATAGCCTTGAATGGGGCGACGCGAGACCTTGAGCATAGCAAGGTAGAGCGATATTCGTTGTGTCCGAGCTTGGTGCGAAGATATATGCAAGTTCCGAATGCACGCTGGCTGGCGTCACAAAATCTGTGTATCTCCAAAACTAGCGGATGGATATTGGATTTAACGCATCGAGAAATTGTTAATTGATTCAACGCCTTCATTTGGGTCTTGAAAGTGACCCAACGCGTGTGAATCTCCTGAGGGACGGATTCGTCCCATTGAATATCTAATTGCCACAGATCTTGCAAAATGAGTTTTGCGACCACAATGACTGGTCCTAGCAGGCCGAGTGGGTCGAAGTATTTTGAGACTTTAGAAAGCATGAGCCGTTTTGATACAATGCCGATTTCAGAGTCAGGTTCGCAAGAGAATTGGAACGTGTCTTGACAATGATTCCACTGCATGCCGAGAATACAAGAGTCTGTAATGTTATCTGTAAAACCGGTTGGGCCAGTTAAATTTTATCTCTAAAGATCTAAGAGGTATACTATCTTTACACTTATTTAATTCTAATGACATGTATCATTTGTGTAAAAGATTTGATATCAACAGTCGGCGTCAAATTAAACCGTTTGGGCCAGTTAAATTCTAAAATAAAAAGTAAAACACAAGTGGTACCTTTAATCTTTAAGAACCCATATAGTACTATTATTTAAATTCTACTAAATTAAAAAGTAAAACTCATGAGGTATCATCTTTATCTTCATACAATGATACATAAGTATATGCCTATAAACTTACCTTTTTAAAAAAAAGGTAGAAAAAAGCGCTAAGAGTGGGTACTGCTGGTCAAAAAACCATTTGGGCCAGTTTCACCAACGTCAACTACTTAATCGACTGTGAAACTGACCAATCACATTTGCTGTTTAGTAGAACCATCTTTAAAAACCTACATGATTTTATCCTTACTTACTTAATTCTAATGACATGTATCATTTGTATAAAAGATTTGATATCAATAGTCGGCGCCAAGTTATTCTACCTTATTACTTACTTAATTTTAATGACATGTATCATTTGTATAAAAGATTTGATATCAATAGTCGGCGCCAAGTTATTCTACCTCATTACTTACTTAATTTTAATGACATTTATCATTTGTATAAAAGATTTGATATCAATAGTCGGCGCCAAGTTATTCTACCTCATTACTTACTTAATTTTAATGACATTTATCATTTGTATACAAGATTTGATATCAACAGTCGGCGCCAAGTTAAATTCTACCAAATTAAAGAGTAAAACACAAGTGGTACCTTTAATCTTTAAGAACCCATATAGTACTATTATTTAAATTCCACTAAATTAAAAAGTAAAACCTAAGTGGAATTATCTTTATCTTCATACAATGAAACCTAAGTATATGCCTTTGTATTCTTATTAAAAGATCTTGCTATTCGAAACCAAGTGACTTAATTCTTCTTTAAAAAAATTATATCACAATTAATTTAAAAACAAAAGGAAAAAAATTTATTTAAATAGAAAAATTTTTTATGTAAAAACACTTCGCGCTGCTCTAGTTCTCGATCTCGATGTAATAAAATACAATAATAAAGATACGAAACATTTTCACGAGAATTAAAGTATTTAGTGTGTATATATTCGTGTATATGTATGTGCGAGTGAATTGTATCTCAATCCCAATATATACTAACGTCATAATAAAATTATATATGGATGTAACATTTTGTATAAAAGAGATTAGAAACTACGAGGGTTAAAGTATGCAGTCTGTATGTATATTCTCGCGTACAGTATATGCGAGTGACATACATAAAAAAAGAAAAGTAAGCTGTATATTTATTAATTAAATGTAGCATTTAGAATATGTTAACTATAATTTTTAAATTATCATTACCTTTACATATATTTGTATTAATTATTATAGCTTTTAGATAGTTTTTATTGTTTGTCTTATTCGCTCTAGCACAGCGCGAAGTGTTTTTACATAAAAAATTTTTCTATTTAAATAAATTTTTTTCCTTTTGTTTTTAAATTAATTGTGATATAATTTTTTTAAAGAAGAATTAAGTCACTTGGTTTCGAATAGCAAGATCTTTTAATAAGAATACAAAGGCATATACTTAGGTTTCATTGTATGAAGATAAAGATAATTCCACTTAGGTTTTGCTTTTTAATTTAGTGGAATTTAAATAATAGTACTATATGGGTTCTTAAAGATTATAGGTACCACTTGTGTTTTACTCTTTAATTTGGTAGAATTTAACTTGGCGCCGACTGTTGATATCAAATCTTGTATACAAATGATAAATGTCATTAAAATTAAGTAAGTAATGAGGTAGAATAACTTGGCGCCGACTATTGATATCAAATCTTTTATACAAATGATAAATGTCATTAAAATTAAGTAAGTAATAAGGTAGAATAACTTGGCGCCGACTAATGATATCAAATCTTTTATACAAATGATACATGTCATTAGAATTAAGTAAGCAAGCATAAAATCATGTAGGTTTTTAAAGATGGTTCTACTAAACAGCAAATGTGATTGGTCAGTTTCACAGTCGATTAAGTAGTTGACGTTGGTGAAACTGGCCCAAATGGTTTTTTGACCAGCAGTACCCACTCTTAGCGCTTTTTTCTACCTTTTTTTTTAAAAAGGTAAGTTTATAGGCATATACTTAGGTTTCATTGTATGAAGATAAAGATGATACCTCATGGGTTTTACTTTTTAATTTAGTAGAATTTAAATAATAGTACTATATGGGTTCTTAAAGATTAAAGGTACCACTTGTGTTTTACTTTTTATTTTAGAATTTAACTGGCCCAAACGGTTTAATTTGACGCCGACTGTTGATATCAAATCTTTTACACAAATGATACATGTCATTAGAATTAAATAAATGTAAAGATAGTATACCTCTTAGATTTTTAGAGATAGAATTTAACTGGCCCAAACGGTTTTTTTATCAAAAGCACGCACTCTTATATATTTTATGGAAAAAATCCATATTATATGACAAGATAATGAAATACAACGAAAAAGATGAGTAGTGAGGATGGGAGGAGGGAGAGGAAGAAGAGGGAGGAAGTGCAATGTATCGTAGAATTTAACTGGCCCAAACGGTTTTTTATCAAAATAAGGATAACATCACGTAGGTTTTTAAAGATGGTTCTACTAAACAGCAAATGTGATTGGTCAGTTTCACAGTCAATTAAGTAATTGGCGTTGGTGAAACTGGCCCAAATGATTTTTTGATCATCAACATATAAACTTACGACTATGTGAAATATACAATACTACTGATTGTGATGATGGTTGGTTTGGTCAAAAACACGTTCTTTTATTTGGAGATCTGCTTCAGTTACCTCCTGTACTTGAAGATCCTGCTTTTATACACTTGACAGAAGAAAAAATTCGTAAATATCTTGGTTCTTTAAGTGCTACT